AATCATGCACCTAATTAAGAAACAAAACCAATCTTAAATTGTTACTTACAAAAGCACGAATTGAAAATTGGAAACGAACTTGATTTTGGAATGAATTAAAGAGGGAGAAGAAGAGATTGAGCATCCAACATGAAACGTCGACGGCTCTTCCCATCCTCGAGAAGAAATCTCTTTCCTTTTAAGGTTTCTTTCAATTTTCCATGAACCATTTCTAGGTCTCTACTGTCATCTTTTCACTTTGTGATTTTTTCATGAATTACTTTTGATAGCTTAAAATCATCAAATTCATCTAAAACACATACCCAAGCTTTGATATCAAATTTAGCCTCCTCCACTTTTGAGTCACTGTATACATGTTGGGCAAGCATGGCTGAGGTTGCGGGTAGGGAGGAGGAGAAGAGGTTGGAGGTAAGCTAAAGAGAGGAAAAGACATAAAAAAAATTTCGTGCAAATGTTTAAAATCTATTTAGAAATTTATTTATATATTAATTTTAAATAATAAAATAATTTTTTATTTAAAATTTTCAATATAAAACAAGTCATTATAAAAAATAATAGACCAAAGTACACTTCTAAAAATAAAAAATATCTATTATAAATATACATCATATTTAAGTTTCAAAATTATTAATAGATTAAATTTATTTATATATAAAAAAATCACTTTATAGTTTATAATTAGATTTAATAAGTTTAACATTTTTTTATATTTATTAAGTATTTAGTTTTTATTTCTTTAGTATTGTCTCTTGACAAAACAATTATATATTAGCAAAAATACTCAATTTATAAATTGTTACATATTAAATATTTTATTTTAATTTTAAATTATAAAATTTATAAATACTTGAAACATATATTTTTTTCAATTTTTTATTTTATTTTTCTAAGTTTATGTTTTCATTATAGTTACAAATCCTACTCACATGAAAATAATTGTCTTTTTTAAAAAATTTCTTAGACTCGTTGATTCATATTAAATCATCTATTATCTATCACTCACGCTTCCTTATTATTCGTTGTTGAAAACAACTTTGGATATAAATTTGCTAATGCAATATTTCCTGCCTATTTATCTTTATAAAAACTAAAAGAACAATAATCACCAAGTACTCATATGACATTAGAATTTATTCACCCATTGGCTTGCTTATAGACCTATATCACGTCTCTCCACTAATCTGAAACACTATGAGCTACATCTAAAGAAATTAACATATCAGCACATGATCTATATTGTGCCCATAACACATTAAAGCACGAGTTTAGAGACTTTAAAACTCTCCAAACCCATTTACGCAACAAGCTCCTATTGAACCATTCCACATATCTCACCCTAGATTGCCTTTATTCTTTGGCATGCATACTCTTTTTCATTTAACCTAAGCTATTTCTAATGATTCCTTTATGCCACTCCAAAGAAATTGACATTGAATCTTCACTATCTCCTTAATTACACCTGGTAGAATTTTTCAAAAGGATAAATAATATAGTGAAAAACTATTTAAAATAACATTAAGAAGTGTTAATCTACTCTGAACAAAGATGTATTTGTGTTTACAAGATTATAGTTTGCAGTTAAGCAACTTAATAAGCTTTTGACAGGTACTTTTTCTTCTTAGTTATTCCTAACCAACATAGATGCTTAAATACCAAAAAGGTAATGATCCTATCTTGCAATTTAAAAATTGAGATGCTGTGTCTAGAAAATCACATGTCACATTCATCCCTACTTTACAACTCTTACAAAAATTAATTTTAACCCTGGATATAAGCTCAAAGCTTCGTTGAATAATCTTTATTGTCCACAAATTCTACTCAGTAGTTTCGCCTATAATCAAAGTATCATCTGCAAATTGTAACAATGAAATTTCTAGTCCATTACGAACTTTGACTCCAAAAGAAGACTCTTTAAGATGACACTTTTCATCAATCCCCCTGAATCTTTTGTTGCTAATAAAAATAAGAAAGAAAATAAAGGATCGCCTTGTTTGAGGCCTCTAACAATCACCACTTTTTCTGTTGGGTTCCTATTAACAAGGACCGATAAATGGCCACCATAAATACAAGCCTCCATCCACCTTACCCACTCTCCTCAAAGCCAAACTTTTGTAACATATATAACATATTTTCAAACCACCAAATCGTATGTTTTCTCATAATCTACTTTCAATACAAAACTTTTTTTTTTTTTTTTGCTTTTCTTAGCATAATCTATCACTTTATTGGCAACATGCACACTATCTAATATATTTCTTTCTGTTATGAATGCCAATTGTTACTCATTTATTATGCATGCTAACACACCCTATATTCTATTTGTAAGCACCTTTAAAATAATTTAAAAAAAACCACAATAACGAAATAGGTTTATACTCACTTACTTTTTGGGGATTCTTCGTCTTCAGATGGAGTGACCTTTTAGAAATTGTGTCATTCATATGAAATTCCACAAGCATCTGCATTACCTCACCCCTCATCAAGTTTCAAAACGATTTTACAAACATGAAATGAAATCCATTAGGACCCAGGCTCTTGTCTCCCTCACACTTCCTAATTATACTCGATACTTTCTCTACAGTAAAAGCCTTCTCTAATTCCTCTCTATGTTCTTTAGATATTCACGACATATTAATATTGTTGATTGTTGTTCTGTTCCATTTATGAGTGGTAAACTGATAACGAAATTAAAATATAAGATTTTACCTTGTTTACATCCTCAAGCCACCTACCCCTCACTTCTAGTGCTAATACATGATTATGCTATCGTCTTCCTTTAATATAAGCATGAAAGTATTTAGAATTTATATCACCCTCAACGGGCCATTTCTTCCTTGCTTTTTGTGTCAAGAGAATATTCCTATGTCTCCTTACTCGCCAAATACCCTCAACCAAGTCTTTTTGCTGAATTGCCTCCTCACCTACAAAGTCTTGGATTTCATTTTTCGCATTCAACTCTGCAAGCTCTAATGTCATGTTTCCAATTTTCTTATCCACATTTCCTAACACTTTTTGGTTCCATCCCTTAATAGCAATTTTTACATTAGTCATCTTTCTCTTAATGCGCTTTGCTGCCCATGACTCACTAACATTGTCCTTCCATACCTTATTAACCACTTCGCAAACATCGGCATGCTCCATCTAACAATTGTTAAACTTAAAAGGCTTTGGGCTTTAGTCATCATCCCTGTGCATTAACAACAAAGGACACTAGTTAGACAAGTCTCTTGGTAAAACTTGAATTATTGTATTTCCCCACACATCACACCAATTTTTTGAGATTATCATTCTATCTAGTTTGCTCATTACCTCGTTGTTCTCATGCATCTAAGTAAATTTTCTTCCCATAAGCGGCAAGTCAACCAATTACATATCGACAATAAATTGATTAAATTTTATCATACTTTAATTAATAATTTAAACTAAGTTATAATTTATAATTAGATTTAATATGTTTAATAATTTTTCATATTTATTAGATATTTAGTTTTTTATTTAATGAGCATGGTCTCTTAAAAAAAATTATATATTAAAAAGAGACTCAACTTATACTTTTTTTAATTATCGTGTTTAACCTTTAAAAAAATCTTATATAAATCTTCCTAAAAAATCTATAAAATGATCATCCAGTTATTTTGCATCAATGCTTGTCTTCTTCTCTTCTCAAAACTGAATCTCAATCACAATTTTGTATCCCAACAAATAATTATATTTTTTCATCTCAACTTTTATTATTCTAGTTATCATTAGAAATAATATACTTTCATCTACTATAATAAAATATAAAGATTAAGGCCTGATTAATGCAAGTGGTAGAATTTTCTACAAACTCAATATTATTTAATAAATAGTATTAAATAATTAATACAAACCATTTTAATATGTTAACTAGCGCTTATCAATTACATATGTTACATGGTGAATTTGATTTTTAATTCTTATATTCAGAATTAAGCTAAAATAAATAAAAATATACTAAATTTATATAAATTTCTATATTTTATTACATAAATATTAGACATTACCTTAGAATATATCTTCAATTTTTTTAAAATTATGTTTATTTTGATTTGTAATTTTTACTAAAATATAATTTATAATTATATTTAATATGTTTAGCTTTTTTCGTATTTATTAAATATATATAAAATCGAACTGATCATATAACAAGTCATATATATATATATATATATATATATATATATATATATATATATATATACACACACACACACGATTTACTGATTTCATTGGATCGGTTCACTTGTCTGACCGGCTGGTCCAATCCGGTTTCATGAACGCTGATATATATACACACGTATACCTGTGTGAAACGAATTCTACGTAGCTATGGCATACAATATTCATATTTTCATAGTGTTTTATTGATTCTTCGCATAGTGACATTCATTGAAGTTTTCCCCAATAATCTCTAACCTCCCTATGTATAATTAATGTTCTATGGTATCATATATTAACTATATGATTTTCTTTTCCTTTGGAAAATCTTAGTATGAAGGTGCAGCAACTGAAGATGGAAGAGGGCCTAGTATATGGGACACTTTCACTCCTAGTTATCCAGGTCTCTTCTTTTTTTGTTTGTCGTAGTTGATTGTGTGAAAAAAACTAGTTTTATTTTCTCTCTGGATAATTTTTTTTTATTACGAATACTTTTTACATAGAAGTAATCTTGTTTGAGCTAGTAAAACTATTCTATTTTTTTTTTTCAACAAGCATTTTACATATTTAGATACATAGATCCAGAGAGTTAGGGATATGATTTCATTTAAGGTTACAAAGAGTTTTAATTAACAATAAATTAATTTTATTTTGTAATACCAATTACAAAAAAAACACTTTTCAAATAGCACTTAGAGAGTTATAATTGTTCTTTAAATACATCTACTTTAGAGAGTAGTATTTATTAGACTAATTTAAACCGTTTTCAGAAATAATGTGGAACGACTCTCTAATATTTTTTTTTTTTTTTTGGTAGTGTTTGAGAATACCTTCCACGAGTTATGGCGTATAATGGACTTAGATAGTATGGAATCAAATGATGCAGAAGGTAATGCTTTGGTATAAAAATCAGCTAGTTGAGTTAAAGAAGATATCAATAGGAGATGAATAAGATTTTGTTAGAGTTTTTCTCTTAGAAAATTGATCTGGGGTCAAACTCAAGTTAATCAACCTTTAAAAGCTACTGCCACAGATAAGACATCTCTTTGTGGACACTAGTATCATTTTGGACTAGCATCAAATATATTAGAACCGAGGTGATCTAACTGTTGCTTAACACCACCGTCCACTTACGTTATGACACTTGTGACACGTGACAACTTTATTCTAGCTTACCACGCACTACCATACAATTACCCAAATGCATGCACACATCTAACAGCCTATAACATTCGACAATTCTGTTTTCAATAGTGCCCCTAAGTTCCACTGTTTTTATGGACCAAGCTACCTAATAATATTCATTGAAGTGAAGAAAATCTGTAGACTTAGTTATGGCATTGAATGTCTTTCTTCTTTCTAGTAGTGTTGCTCTAATTCTTGGCTCAGTGACAATAATTGAAGCTTCAACATTGTTCACCAACGATATTAGTACATCCCTCAACCGAAGTAGTTTCCCCAAAGGTTTTATATTGGGAACAACATCATCTTCTTACCAGGTACTCTAAAAAATCCAATTAATGATCTTACTTGTAAGCTCTGCACAAACATGAAACAATGTGTCTTGAGCAAGGAATTCTTGAACAACCCCATTCACATTAACCCAACTAATGGAGGAATAGAAGCAAAGATTTCAAAGGTTTTGTTGCATAATAATGCAACATCATCACTTACATCTATAAAAGAAGATATCATAACAATACAAAGATATGGGTAAAGAAAATAATAGCTCAACCACTTGATTAATTTTAGCATGAATATTAGTTTTAACTTTGCACTTTCATCTTGAATTTAATAGTGCTTTATATTATGTTATGTATTTAAATTGTAATATCTTTTGAATAATTATCTAACTGTATTACTTTTTGAATTTAATGTTTATGATTCTAAAATATATTTTGCATTGTGCAAAATATTTTTTAAAAAATATACAGGAATTTGTTGAATTTAGAGGTAAAATTAAAAATAATTATTTTCAAATTAAAGATGATTTAGAGACCAAATTAGATACGAAATTCACTTTAGAAAAAAAAAAAAACAACTATTGATTTAAAGACAAAATATCTTTCATTTAAAAAGACAGATTCAGATATAGAATTTTAGATTTAGAGACGAAGACAAATATAATAATCTAAGATATGAATTTAGACATACCTTAAATCTAAAGTTTGTCTCTCTTAAAGATGAAAATTCATCTCGAGTTAGAGATAAAAATTAATATTTAGAGGCAGATAAATTTGGAGACATAAATCAATTGCTATTGCTAACTTATTTGCAACACGAATATAAGGGATAGAATATATTTCATTTTTAATTCTGTCTCTGAATGTATTAATCATAAGTGGTATAAAATCTAGTTAACCAAGTTTTGTATGAAGGCACTGGTCTTGTGCTGGCTTGACCTTAACCCATAAAACTGGGGGACCAATAAGGCTATTGTAATTTTTTTTTATTTTTTAAAAAGAAAGTTTATCAAATATGCTAGCTATTTAAATACAAAGTCAAAATCAGGGTTGAGCATGGTTGCCTCATGCGTGGTCAGATCATGTACTCCACTGAAATCACACAATAATTTCTTATTACAGAAGTTTTTTTTCTCTCTCTTAAATAAGAGTTCTTTTATAGGAATTTTGTATATATTTTTTTATTTCTTTTATTTTCTATCACTGCACGCACTCATCCACGCATCCATAAATGTGCACGTTCTCACATTTTTAGTTCTCCACACGGAACGAGGAAGGTAAAGAGAGAAGATCCAATAACAAAGTGATGGTAGCAGTTGGCATGGTTCTTCAAAATTCGCAACTAGAAAGAGTAAGCACAACTATCAGCGACACGAAGAGGAGATGTTGTTACTTTTAAATTTATGTTAATTTTAATGTTAATAATTATAATTTTTTTAAAGTGTTTTCAAATCTCAAACGTCTAGGAGCAAACATTTCTAGAATTATCTCTCCCAAAACTGTCACCATCGTCTAGATTTACGATTCATGCAAGCAATGATTTGATCATCAGATTGAAGAAATCCTCTAACCATGTGGACAACGTCAGCACTAGAAGCACCGTTAAAACATTATAAAAATATTATTACATGGTACCGTTAAAACATTTGTCTCAGTTTTGTCGGTTGTTAAATATATAGAAAATTAATAGACATGCACCCTAAACTATTACGTGGGTACGAGAGAAATTCCCTTTTTTTAAAATGCAAATGCAACAAACTGCCAATTACATTAAACACTCAACAAAACCATATCCGATTGAAAATACAATCATAAACAATAAAACTACAAACTTAATAGCCTTCGCAAGTGGAGAAGATTTATTATTCTTTTTAATCTAAGGCTGGGAAATTAAACAAAGCTTATTAACATTATAGATGTTCTCAACACACACCCTGTGGACAAGTCCCTAATCCTCAGGTGCTTTAAGCATTCTTCTTCCATTCTTCAATTAGTTTCTTAACAATAACCTCACAACTTCCGCCAACCCCAGCAGCCTTCCTAGCAACCTTCTGCATTTCTCTAACTTGGGACCTCAAAGATTCATTGCCCATCATCTCTTTGATTTCCTTAGCAAAGTCCTTACTTTTCACCACCTCATGTCCTCCCCACCCCCACTCCTCAGGCAAAACCCCCACCCCAACATCCCTCATTGCTTCAGACCCTATCTTTTGATCCCCAAACTGAGCCCATGAAAGAATGGGCACTCCTTGCCACACAGCCTCAACCAATGAGTTCCAACCACCATGACTCAAAAAACCCCCAACTGCATGGTGACCCAAAATCTCCATTTGGTTTACAAATTCCTTCACAACTATGCCCTTTTCCCTCACCTTATTTATCAACTCGCTCCCTAACACATCCTCCAAATCCTCCTCCTCCTCCTCTCTATCAACTACCTTCAACTTCACCACCCACAAAAAACTATACCCACATTCTATTAACCCCAAAGCCACGTCCTTTATTTGCTGCCTTCTTATTGCAGTTTTATTCCCTAAACAAATATACACCACTGACCCTTTTGCGTGTCCATCAAGCCACTTCATTATGGAACTCATGCATCCCCCATCCCCTTGATCTACCTTCTCAAACTCACCAACCATTAAGGGACCAACACCATACGCAGGTGGCAACCCTTTAACTACTTTCCCCTCATTTAGAGCTGCTAGTGCCTCAGGTTCTATTTGTTCAAACGTATTGATGAAAACTCCATTGAGCTTCGTGAGTTTAGGACTGTCCTCCATCAATATGCTCTCAAAGAGAGAGTTGGGTTGAAGAAGCAAAGGAGGGACAGAGGATCTTGGTATCGGTGATGCAATGCCGGGGATTTTAACAACATCACCAATGAATGAAGAAGGTTTTGCACCAGGATTTGAAGCAGCAAGAACAGAAAGGTATGCAAAAAAAGCGAACATTCTTGCTGGTGCACCAAAGTAAATGTAACATGGACAAGAGAGTTTCTCGGTGATTAATGGAACCAAAGGGGAAATTAAACTAACATCAAAGATGAAAGCTGAGAGGGTTGGTGAGTGTGAGGAGAGTATAGGAGCTACAAGGTGAACAGAACGACGAATGGTTTCAAATTGAAGCCAAAAAGGGTCGTTGGTGTTAACATTCTTTGGATCATCCAAAGGAACAAGGTTTAAGTCCATTTGGGTGACTTGGTTAGGAAAAGAAGAACAAAAGCGCGAAATGAGGTTCGATTCAGCGAGAGAAACAGTGGGTTTGGGAGTGATGAGAGTGACTCTACAACCTTTGCGTAGGAACAATGATGCTGTTCTAAGACAGGGGTTAAGGTGGTCCATTCCAGCACTTGGAAGGAATGCCAAATGAACAACGGATTCGGAATCAGACATTGCTGTGTGTTGGAAGCAAGGAAGAAAAAACTTTGATTTAAGTGAGTAATATTTGCACACTAAAATGCATGGGAGATATCACTTGGTATATATAATCGGCCAGAACTTGGTAAATTTGCACGAAAAAAAAATGAATTTGTTAATTTGGTAAATTAAATTAAATATTGCAATGCCATTCACGAAATAAGAGGATATATTTCATACACGTCAATTTTTTTTATAAAGGTGGACAAAGGGTGAAAGAAAGGCGCTTATTATTATTATTATTATAAATTCACCAAAATATGGCTTTTTTTTTTTACAAATTTACATTAATATAATTTTTTAGAAAAAACGTCAAAAGGCGATTTTAATGTTCAGGTAATTAGTTATTGTAATATTTAGTTTCAAACCATATACAATAATTTGTATTATTATTTATTAGTTAGCTTTCCTTTTCATGATAGAGCGGTTTAGTTTAAATGCAATTCATTCTCACTGATGAAATCTTACATTTAAATTAACTTTTTGTGTAAAAAGTAATCTAACAAGCCTAAAACTGAAAGATGGATAAAAAGAGTTATTTTTATTTTTTAATAGAAAGTGTCATATCAAAAGAGGTTAGATGGATAAACAGTGATAATTGCAGCAAATTCGGGTCCCACCACGTGATAGTGAAAAAAAAAAAACTAACTCCTATAGCCTTCATGAAAGATAATTATTTAATAATTTTTATTATAAAAAATTAAATTAAATTTTTAATATGTTATAAATTTATGTTAATAATAAAATATATATATTACTTATATAATATATAAAACACTAGTTTATTTATTCAACATTATATATATTTTAAAATAAAAAATAAATTTAATATCTCAGTCGTACTTTAAGCTTTTATCTAGTCTTCACACTCTCTTCTCCTCTTGTTCTCTCTTATGATCTTAATCAAAATTTTCTTTTTTTATTTAAATGAAAAAAAATACTTTTTTACTTATCTCCTTTAAGTTAATTTAGATTCGTTAAGCACAGTCTATGTGATGAGTTACTAACTCATCTAAAAAATTAAAATTTTTTAACATATTTTATTAAATTTAAATTATAAGTTACTATAATTAATTAAAAAATTTAATGAAATATTATAATTATTGAAAAATTGATAAATCATTCATATTTTGATTGCTAGCATTTGAATTTTGAAGGAATTAGAAGAAGGAAATTGACAATTGGACTAAAGAGCAGAAGTAGAGTGCTACAGGACATATTTGTGGGGACAAGAGCTTCTGATTGTGGGAACACGATGCTGACTGAGCATATAAAAGTGAAATTTTTTGTTATAGGAGGCATCTTTCATTTTTTATTTTTATTACATTCTAAAGGCGCAAAAATTGAGGTTTTTGTACAGTTTATGTAGAAATGACAGCTAGGGTAGTTTTCTTACATGTTTTTTAGAGGATTCTTATGGGAACTTGCATTCCCTTTCCATTTTCTTTAGTTTATGTAATAGAACAGTAACTCTTTCATTTCATCCATTTGTTGTAAGCTTTTTTGTGAACATGAATTCTGTTTCTACAATATATTTCAGTTTTATATTATTTACTTTCATTATATCTAGTTAAATATCTTGGGGTTGAATGAAGATGAACCTATACCTTTACTTTTTGCAATGAACTAACATTAGATATAGCTCAAGATACATGCTTTAATCTAACATTTTGATTCTGAACTTAATTCTTCCTTGTTTTACGTGAATAAGGTTGATGAAAAGGAGTTTATTGTTGGAAAGTAGTGAACTTTCTTGGATAGGGATTAATTTGCTCATTAGGAATTATCTAGAAAAAGAAATTTATGATGATGTGGTCAATGGGTTTAAATCTTAATGTTGAATGTTTTTAGTTGTATCTAAGGATTAGGACACTAATTTCATTTTAGAACCAATTATCAAGGAATTAGGGCTGGGTATTTTAGAAAATCTGACCATTAGATGAAGTTGTATTTAGAGTTATACATATATTTGTATGCAAAAGGAAAGGGATAAGGGATTCTGAACTCAACCTGTTTTTTAATTATTTTTAGACTCACTTCCAATAATTAAGGCATTTATATTCTGCAATTATTTTGTTTATTGTTCCAACTTTTAGTTTTTCAGTTTATGCTCATATATCAATTTCAATTCCAACACTTTTAATTTTGTTTTTACAATTCTGCACTTAGTTAAATTTCATTCTGTTTATACTCTATTTTTTGTGACCCAACTAATATTATTCTTGTGGGTTGGTACTTAACATTAATCCCTGTGGACGATAATCTAATTTGTTACTTCAACGATTTGATGCACTTGTCAAAAAGTTTATCACCATGCTAAAATTATAGCGAATTTGTATCTATTTTTATTCTCATTCAAGCTGTATGATTAAGTGATGGAATTTTGGGCATAAGTTGGCTAAGATTACTCAAATGACTTGGATGTGGCGATTTTGGAAGTGTATATCTTTCAAATTAAGTGGAACTCGGTATAAACTTGCAATGAAAGATGTGGATAAGGTAAAGAGAAACTAACTAGAACATAGACAGCGAGTGAGATATTGCAACAGAAACTACATAAGGTTGCCGTTGTCGAACCCAATTATGCAAAATTTTTAATTTTACTACACTAACCCATTGAAGCCCTTTAATTTAGAAAATGTTTATATTATGGTAAAAAGTTTTTAGTGCAAATAGTCTTTGAATTCTATCTTGTTTAGTTTTACCACATAGTTAACTGTTTACGTGGAATGCAAGTTCTTCTCCTTTCTGTTTTGTAAAAGCTTATAAATAGACATTGTTTGAAGTTTAATACATATAATTTTTCAATTCAGTTCTATTTGGTCTATTCAAAGTTATTTACATTTTTTTTTGTTAGAGCCTTCTTTTAAGGGGGCCTGATAGTGTTAGTGAGCAAAATATGAAAGGAACGATGACAGTTGACGGCAAAGTATGTTAGCAATTCTCAAGTTTGATGGGGATTATGAGCACTGATCCATGCTCATGAAAAAGCTATTATGTTCCAAGGAATAGTGGCATTTGGTGGATACTTACTACATTGAACCAGGGAGGGGCAAAATCCTGAATGGTCCTTAAAGAGTAGCACTAGGAGAACTGAAGTTGAAAGATTTAAAGGTAAAAAATTACCTTTTTTAGACTATTGACAAGACAACATTGAAGACCATTACTTAAAAGAACACAACTAAACAACTTTGGGACTTAATGAAAATGAAGTACCAAGGCAATGAGAAAGTGCGCAATTCACAGTTGCAAGATCTCTAAAGAGAATTTGAGGTACTTGAGATAAAGGTTAAAAAGTCAATTAATAGTATTTTTCAAGAGTGGTGTTAGTGTCTAATGATATGAGCAATCTTGGAGAAGGCATGAAGGATGCAAAAATTGTAGAAAATATACTACATACTTTTTCTAAGAGTTAAAACTTCGTTGTGTGTGCTATTGAAAAATCAAAAGACATCAATAGAAGTTTTGGAAAACATCAACTGATGTGTAAAGTATGTTGAAACTTTGAAGTTCTGTCCTAGTTCATGAACATAAGTTTCGGAAGAAGGGTACTGGCAAAGAACAAGCCTTAAAGGTAGCAGATGAAGCTGGTAGAGGCATGGATACATGAGGAAACTTTAGAGGTTAAGGAAAAGGATGACATTTTTTAAATAAGGCTATTGTGAAATGTTACTGTTGCCACGAACTCAGTCATTTCTAATATGAATGTCCCACATGGGGAAATCAAACCAATTATCCCAAGTTAGATGAGAATAAGGAGATGTTACTGATGGCCTATGTCAATGAAATTGGTGAGAAAAGAGAAAATATTTGGTTCTTGGATTTAGGATACAACAACCACATATGCGGTAACAAAGCCTTATTTGCTTGCTGAGTTAAATGAAGGTTTTCAGACAACAAAGAGGCTTAGAAACAGCACAAGGATGTAAGTTTCTGGGAGGGAGTGTTAGAATGGAGGTATATGGTGACAATTGTATTGTTGGTGATGTTTATTGGGTACATAAGCTTAGAAACAATCTTTGAGTATAAGAGGTCTCAACATTCTTATAAGATCTGACAAGTGTAGAATCTATCATCCATAGAAAGGTTTAATCATTCAAACTTCTAATCAAATATTCATTTTAGTTGCTAAAATACTGTCATCTTCTTTCTAACCAAAGCAAGAAGTGCTTCAACATAACGATTGAGGACCTTACTTATTTGTGGCACTGTAGGCTTGGCCATCAATAACACGACCTTTCAACTTTGTAACGCAAGATAGTCTATAGACTACCTTAACTAGCAATCTCAAGTGAAGATTGTTTGACAGGAAAACAACACTGAGAGTATCTCAAAGGTTAGAAATCTTTCATGTCGATTTGTGTGGTCTAGTTTCTCCTAGTTTGAATAGTGGAAAATTGTATCTTCTATACTTGATTGATTATTATAGTCAAAAAGCTTGGTCTTATTTTCTAAATATGAAGTAAGAAACACTTGCTATTTTTAAGTCTTTCAAGATATTTGTCGAAAAAGAAACTATTATGGCAATTAAGTGCAGATCGAGGAGAGGAGTTGATAAGTGACAAATTTTAATAAATTGCAACACAAATTAGGGCACTTATTTACCTCAATGAATTTAATTTGGATTTTAATTTTATTTTAATTTATAAGAGTTTAAATTAAACTATTTCTTTTGGTTTAGAGATTGGGATGCAAATATTCATTGATCCCTTTTTATTAAATTATTGTTTACAGGAGCTTAATGAGGATAGAAGGCAAAGGAAACTGAAAGAATTGACTTTGGTCCATTTCCATGCAAGTGAGAATCCCTCACTTGAGCGAGAATGTCTTTTTGCGAGAATTTATTAACTCCACTTTTAAAAAAGAAAAATTAGCAAAGAACAATAGGATAGGGGGGAAGAACAAAATCCAGTAAAAATGAAGACTAGGGCACACATTGAATGAGCATTGTGATACCATTTTCTTTTCTTTCTTTTGTGATAATAGCGCTAAAACTTCCTTTGAGATTAGATGTAATTTTGAACTCTGAAGTATTGTGATGATTTATACATAATT